AATTTGTCTTCTGCTCTTTAGTCTCTAATTGCCTCAAGAAGTCTGAATAGCTCATATTTCTTTGCTGCTCCTCTCTGATTTTGAAATGTTTCTTACAACTGATTAGTAAAAGAGAGACCAGGGTATGAGAGATGACTCACAGTCTTATCTCAGCTGCAATTTTATTAACTATACTTGAGCCACACTTAGTCTTTTTCTGACAAAAGAAATTGGTACAAGATGGATTTGGGTTGGCTTTTGATGCAAAGTAGGCTTTCAGGCAGAGACCCAAGGGAAAGTAGTCTTCAGGAGCACTAGCTCAAGCAGTAGTAATCAGAAGACCTGAGTCCTAGTCCTCTGTTACTTCTCTAAGTGATTGATGATGTGGTTAATAACACAGACTTAGAGCTCAAATGAAGAGAACAATGCTATGGAAAGAGTAAGTAAAAAGTAAAGGAGGATATTTAAACAGCCAAAAGAATATTTTAAATGTGGTCTTAAATCTAAGAGAGTAGAGGGGGAATGACAGTCTATAACTAGGAAAAAATAGCAGACCATTAGTCTCCATAAAGTGATTCTTCTCACTTGTGTGCCATATCAGGTGATGTCTACTATTCTCAGAGATTGACTGAGGTGGTCCTACAGCTTCTCTCCTGGTGTTACAGTTCAGTCATGTGTCCAAGAATTCCTTGGCCAGTTATTTTCTTATAAATAAGGATTTATTGAAATCCTTGTGTCTTGACATCAGTATATCCATTGAGTCTTTTCCTTTGAATGGAGGGTATTAGTCTGTGTTCTTCACCCTGGAAATTCTCATACAAAAAAAGCTTAATGGCTTTCGTTTGCCAGTCCAAATAATCCTAGTTATTGTTGTTGTTTTCTTATACGATCTTGTTTCTGATCAATCCTAGACACTTTATCACTCTTTGACAAGGGAGCCGATAAAGTGTGGCTATTATTATTTCAGAAAGTACCTCAACAAAGTAAAATGTCCACACATTTAGATAGAGAAAACAAGTTTCTTATTCTTTTTCTAAAGGCAAACGCCTCCTTTTTCAAAAGGTAAAATCCAAGTCATTATCCAATCCCACTTGAGAGCACAGAAACTCTTATGAAGAAAATAAAAGTTCTTGTGGAATATGGATTGAGTATTTCAGATAAACTTCTGACCAGTCCTTCTGACATGCTATAGGCTAAGAATCTTCTCACTACTCTATGCTCCATAGAACATAGAAGCAGGGATGATGATGATGATGATGATGATGATGATGATGATGATGATTACCTGTTTTGTTCATTGGTATCACCCTAGGACTTATCACCTATTAGATGCTTTTTTTTTTTTTTGCTGAGTAAGTGAACAAATACCACACTTGCTTGTCAATACCTCTAGTTCCATATCTAGATTTTGAGATCTAGGAAATTTTATCTTGAAAATTATGTGAGTTAAATTAATTTGGCAAAACTTGTCTTTGTTTTCAATATGAACCTCAGGCATATATTCTCAGGATAAATGTGTCAAGCACCCAATACAGATGTCCCTTCTCTCTGTATAAAGAGAGTTGTACCAAAGTTGCACATAAAATACCCATCAACGGAATCTTTTTTATTTTATTAACTAATCCCATGATCATAGATAAAGGACATGTGGAAGTTTTCATTTGGAGATAAAAGCAAATAATTGGCTTATTCTAAAAGCATGTTTAGGGTAGAATGTATGCCTCAAGCAAAACATTGGGAAATGAGAAAGAGAAATAGTAATAGGGCTAAAGGAGGACATTATTAAAGAGAAATATATATATAGGAGGCCCAAATAAATTGCTTAGTGGGAACATTGTGGGGCTAAGCAGTGAGTCTGAGCTATAGTGATGAGGTTCAGGGAGGAAGAGAAAGAGAAAACACATTAGGGAAGCAAATCTCCAACTTTCTGGCAATGTCTGAACTTCTCAATTCAGTCCTGGCTTGGCCTTGCTATCCACCTCCCACTGTAAAGTTGAGCTGTTTCTGTCATCATTATGTCACCCAGCAAGGTCTTTATCATGTCAGTAGACTGAGTGGTGAGAAAAAAGGGAACAATGAGATAATTTTTATTTTCCTTCAACAATTAATTTGAGTTCTTACTATATACTGTCCAATGAAAGGGGCTGAGGATTTAAGATGCATGGACTTTAAGGCCAGTAGTTATATGGAGATTAATTAAAGGCACATATTAATGATTCTACAGTTAAAGCCAAGACTAAAGGAAAAAAGACTTTATGGTAATTCATACTAAAAGAATACTAGCAAGTTGGAGATAGCATAGGTTAGGGAAAATTTCCCATAAGAAGTGATGCTTGAGGAGAGATCATAAACCATATATAGGAGCTTGCTGAATGAAGGGTTAGTGAGATAATAACCCAACTCAAGCAAGGAGGACATGTACAAATTCATTGGGAGAAAAAGGACAAGGGATCTACTAGTTGTTGGAACATTGTAACCACTGAGAGGTTAAATTTCTGTGACAGATATCCTTTGAAACAAGTTCTTCTTTGGATCTAAGACACTAACATCATGCTATCCTGTTCCTTACTTTCTTTACTAATTGTTCTTTCATATCTATACTTTCCTCATTCCTTGAATTTGAAACCCAGTATTTTCTCATATATGTATCTTCTTAGTCAAGAACCAAATATGGTACACAGAGGACAGTGAGAATACCAGTCCTTTGGAAGTTGTTAGAAAGCAATGTGAGGTCCTTTGGAGGTTGTTAGAAAGCAATGTGAGGTAGAAAAGAATCCTGATAGAATCATATTTGGAAAGCCTTGGAAACCTGAATGGGAATTTGGACATGAAGTTATAAGTAATCTATCTTTGTCTCTAAAGCAGTGAAAATATATAATAAAAGTAATTTTTTCAAAATTTATTTGAATTGGATATGAAGGGTTTATTGACTTAGAATTTATATGTAGTTTCTATAAAGAAACAAACATTGAATAATCTTCTGGTGTTCATTGGAATAGCTAAACCTTTTTTTCTCAGCATGTGAGCAGGAAAATACATACTCCAGATTATCCAGGATTGTTGTTAAAAAGAAGATTCTGGAGCTCTATCCTAATTCTACTGACTGGTATGGAGCCTGAGACTGCATTTTAACAAGCACCCTAGTCATATGTGCCCCCCAGAGTTGGGAATGACTAGGTCAAAACTGAAGGAAAAGATACTGAAGTCAGGTCAGCCAATCGTGTACTGTGTTACAGGGATCCTGCTGATTGGAACACAGGGACCACAATGACAACCGTGGATTTGGGACCAAGGGTAACCCTGACAACCATCTCAAAGGCAGCATCATAAAAAGGTGAAAGAGTGGATTTCAGAAATGGAAAAGAGGAAAATGTCTAGAACTATCATTGGTGCATTCTGAAAGGCAGCTAGTAACCAAGAGTAGGTGTTGGCCCTTACATATCAGGGATACTGTTGGCAGTGAGGAGAGAGAACGATGCTAAGCACTCTATGATAAAGGGATAATGCTTTAAAAAAATAGAAAGAGAAAAGTAAAGACAGCAACAGAGAAAAAAAGTAACCTGATCTACAAAGCTGGGTAGCTGGGGATTCAAATAAGCTTGTCATGCAGGTAGTTGGCACAGATGCTCTTCTCACCTTAAAGGTGCTTAAGAGAATGAAATGGAAGCAGGGAAAGCAGACAGATGGCACAGAGTTAAGCTCAGGCAAAGAGGCCGAATAATATGACAGGGGCAGGATTTGAAGTTAAAAGCAAGAGAGTTCTGAATCTTGGTGAGAAAAGAGGAAGAAGGCTAAAAATTCAAATTGAAAAAGTTAAGTCTTTTGCTGACAATTCTGAATAGGAAGGGATAAAGAACATAGGTGGGGCATGTAAGCAATATGCATATTGTTCTAGTAATCCTTTAAGTTTTATAATACCACATGTAGATATAAAGATACGGAGACCTGTACAGAAACAAAGAGAGAAGTTTGCTTCCTTTTAAACCTTTTTCTCCCCTGGGAAATGTGAAATATTATAACATTCTATGCCATGAAAGTATGCTTTAAACATTTTACTGGGGCATAAATAAAATTGTGTGTGCTTATATTTTTTGAATAAATGTGTCTTTAATTAAAAGATGTTTATTCTGCTATTGCTTTAAATGTAATATTTATAAGCACATTTAATTCCTGTGCATAAGGAGGAGTACTCACACAGAACAATAGAGGCATGCTAAACTCAGGAGATCAAACCTTGAAAGCTACATGCCAATGGATTATTTAGTTTTTAAAATCTTAAATTAATAACAATTGGCAATAAAGCTCATTAAAATTCCTTTTGTTCAAGATCCATTGTGTCGAACTTGAAGCCCAGTTTGTTCATCTGAAGCTGAGATCTCCACCTAGTGGATTTATAGGAATTTGCAGAATTTACAGAAACATCCTGCTATCCCTGGAAATCCTTAATTTTTTTTTTCAGAGAAATAATAGCTTTTAAAGACTTCTACTTAAGATCTAGGATAATTATCAACAGAACAGTTACAAAACCACAAAATATGCTGTTATACATATCAGCTAGACTACAACTAACAAAAAAACTGAAATTTTATTTTCATATCATAATTAGGAAAACAAATTGGGCTCAAATATGAATATATAGTCATCTCTGTAGAAGGTAATACTGTAGTGCCACTAATTAAGATTTTTATAATAATTTCCATAAAATAAACACTAAAAGTACCTCTAGTAAAATGCTTTTTAAATATCTACCCTTTAATTTGAGGCTTTTTATTTCTTTCAGTGTTTGATTGCTTTTCCAGGACTGGGTAAAACTTTTCTTTCCCATTTTCCCATTTGTTAAAAAAGCCTTCTCAGTAAATTGTATCAAACATATTCTGTGGCTCCATCTTTGATTTTTTAAATTATTTTCAACTGTGAACTTCTATTGATAACTAAGAATTGCTGAGGTTTTGTTCTCCAAAATAATGCATTTTAAATGCATACAAAGGCTAGAGGGTGTTTGTGTGTCCTTTTGAAGAGAGCTAATCTAGAAAGTGATTATTATTTGAGTTATTTTGTTCACTTTGCTCTGCTTCTAAAGGTGATGTATTAGCATATTCAGCAGATGGTGGATGCGGTACAGGTTTTGGAACAGAGTTTTCAGCTTCTTTTATTCTGCTAGGAATTAGAGGCACCTCATTTTCTGGCTCAAAACTAATGTCTTTTAACTCTGGTGAGAGAGGAAGCACTGCATGTCTCTCCGCTGCCATTTCACCTTCTCTGTGTGCACTGCTATCTTTATCTGGCTGCATATTTTGAATTTCTCTCAAATCGTGCATATGACTGTTAATTTGAAGATCTGCTTCACTGTGAGGTATTCTATTTTTGGTTTCCTGGGAATTTGTGATCCTTGGATCTTTAACTGTAATGGTCTCCTCAACAGAGTTTGAATCACAGAAAACGTGTTTTTCACTTTTCCCATTTTCCCAAGTTTGCTGCCCTCCAATTGTGATGCCCTTTGAGGTCATTTGTGTGGTCCAAATGAATATACTAGAATTGGTCTTGCTTTCATCAAGTATACTTTCCCCTTCTTTTTCTACTATTTTTATCTCCAGAGCTTCAGTGCTGTCATCTCTGGGCAATACATGTGTGCTGTCACTTCTTTTTTCGCTACTATTGGTTAGATGCCAAATGGCTTGACTACTAAGAGTAGAAGTACTGATATCCTTGGGAAGCTCTCTTCTATTTTGGTGTGGAATAGAATTTGTCATCATAAATGGTAGGTTGTTCTTGGACTGTGTCCAGGGAATAAGAGAGGAATCATAAGTTTCTGTGTTAAGAAGATTTTTCCCTACTTCATTTCCTTCCTTATCCATAATACAACTTTCCACAATTGGATGTGATATTTTGGGTTTTGTCATTAATGTTTTTTCTTCATTTTCAAGTTGTTCATGACTTAAGTTTTGTTTCTTACATTGTAAAATTTGATTTTGCTCTGAAGTACATTCCTTGTTGTAAGTGTCAGTCTTGTAAACACTTAGAAATTGTGCTTGGTTTCTCATGGACCGAGGGGACTGGTTTAGCTCACTGGACTTTGATTCGTTCTGCTCCATGAGCTCTCTGGACTCTGTTGCCCCTTGATCAATAACTTCCCTGGAATGCTGAAATGGAAAAACGTTATTTCCCACATTTTCTGAAGTAGCTGGTGAATAACTAGAAACTTCTGGTTGAAGCTGAGATGTACCTTCCATTTGCTCCATTGAGAACTGAGAAAGTGAGAACCCGTGCTGGACATTCTGGGGTGTAGGCTGAGGCACAGTTGATGAGTTTCCATTAGGAACCTGACCAGTTGGGTAACAGTTGCCCTTTACAGAGCTCTGGTTGCCTGTAGACAAATTGTTAGCACTGATGAGAGAGGCATTTTTAGTACTTCTTTTGTAAGTTGAGGTCTGCTTCGGGGCATGTTCAAGAGAAAGCATTTTTGGAGTCAGTTTAATGTAGTTTTCACTCTCTGACTGTTGAAGGAAATCTGCAGAAGACACAAGATTTATCTTAGTTTTTTTTATCAGAAGTTTTGGGGAATGTCTTAGGAGGTATCACTGCTTGTTTACACTTTCTGAGGAGTTCTGGTGAAGATTTTTCTGGATGGACTCTGACTTTTCTAAAAGGACGTAAATTTAATTTTTTCCTTAAATTTTGTCCTTTAATTTTCCCTTTGTGACCAGATTGTTTGATTCTCTTCTTTTTGATAATCTGTGACTCAGTAAACCATCGTCCTCCTTTGCTTGTTTTGAGATCCAAGGTGGTCAGCTGATTACTTTGATTTTCCTGCTGTTTCCAGTGTGTTGATGTTTTGGGTGATTTCACCTACCTTTTTTTTTCCTACTAAGTCAGGATTACAATAGCTGACCCTCTTTGGGGAATACGTTTTCTTGTATTTTCTTGTTAACCTTGATAAATCTGTGTTATTCTCACTCATAAGGAAATTTTCTATTGCACTGTTAATTTGGATTTGCTCTTTCTCAGACTTTGAATGTTCTGTGCGACTTGACTTCTTTTCTTTCATATAATCTTGAAATTGATTATATGGTATATATTTACAGATAAGGGAGTTCTTTGTCTGAAAATACCTGGGCTTGCTCCATTTTAACAGTCCACATGGGTCATAATATTTTGGTCTATGTTTGCATAAGATCTTTTGTACATAGTGCTCCTCAGGCACACAGGGCTTGGGTGATGAGCTTGTAATAAAATGTCTCTGCCTGTGAGGTTGTAAGCCATTGTCTTCTTTTTCTATTGGAGGTTGCCATGATCCATTTGTTAAATGCTTTTCAAGAGTTTCTCTTGCCAAGGCTGAAGCGGATGTTGCATATCTTCTTCTAAATGTGTCACCACTGATATCTGCTGAACAATAAATGCAGGATTTTAGCACTGGGCAGAGTTTTAAATCCCTAACCAAACAGATGCTTAGGAACCTTATGGAAAGTGCAAAAATGACTCCTCTGATTATAACAGTTCTTGAATATTCCCTAATTTTTAGCCAAATCCACAAAGGATATTTGGTGGTTTGGTATGTTTACAATGGCATTCTTTTTTTTTTCTTTTTTTTTTTTAATTTTTTATTGTTGGCTGTTCAAAACATTACATAGTTCTTGATATATCATATTTCACAATTTGATTCAAGTGGGTTATGAGCTCCCATTTTTACCCCATATACAGATTGCAGAATCACATCAGTTACACATCCATTGATTTACATATTGCCATACTAGTGTCTGTTGTATTCTGCTGCCTTTCCTATCCTCTACTATCACCCCTCCCCTCCCCTCCCCTCCCCTCTTCTCTCTCTACCCCCTCTACTGACATTCGTTTGTCCCCCTTGTATTATTTTTCCCCTTCCCCTCACTTCCTCTTGTATGTACTTTTGTATAACTCTGAGGGTCTCCTTCCGTTTCCATGCATTTTCCCTTCTCTCTCCCTTTCCCTCCCACCTCTCATCCCTGTTTAATGTTAATCTTCTTCTCATGCTCTTCGACCCTACTCTGTTCTTAGTTACTCTCCTTATATCAAAGAAGACATTTG